TCAGCAGGATGTCATTTCTCTACAGTCCCAACATCGCTTGTGTTCTTGTAATCTGAGGTTTTTATTAGCAGTAAAGACCTGACCAGTGAGTAATATCCACGCTAAAGTCTTTATACCAGTGAAAGAAAATCAATGCAGCCTGCAGCTAGGTGTCAAGAGCCCAGGGGTTTTGGAAGAAGAGGTGTGTGGAGGTGGAAAGCACCTTCAGCCATAATTCAAGCTGTCCCCACACAAGCACAGAATACAAAGAGATGTGAGATGTTATATACACTGCTGCGGATAGCTATCAGTATCTCAGTTTCTTTATTTGCTAACGCTGAGCTCAGGGCGCGTGAATCACGCACCTAATACCAAAGCACCTTCCCACGTGCTCGTTTGCCCTCTGGCCAGTCCATCCGGGCCCTGTAGTTCCTGAAGTGGGCTATCGGTACCAGCAGCCGAAGGAGAAATGAGTAAAATTCACATGCCACCGCACGGATATGAAAGGATGCAAGAGAAGGCGAACATTTTTGAAACTTTGCTCCTTTCTGCACATCAATACGGTCAAACACTGACGTTTTTAATCACCAGATACTAGCCACATGTCCTTAGATTTCATTCACTACAGTTTTGTGAACTCAACGGACTTCAGTCCAGTGTAAAGCAGTGAAAGCCTTAATTCTACATCCTGCCTCTTCCACATTCACAATTTTATTAACCCCCTTCTATGTATCTTTCATTTAGTACATACAATTCCAGAAAGTCAGAGGTTTTATTTTTAAGAAGGAACTGCAGATAAAGATTTATCAGAAATCGCCCTCATCCTACCTTGTTTAATGTCACCCCCTACTTTCTCTTACACCTTTATTTGATTTGATGCCGTGCTTTTCCCTTGTTTGTAAATTCAATCATCTTTCTGTTCAGTAAAATTTTCTTGTGATTTCTGTACATAAAGTTTGTCTTGCCATTTTCTTTCCCTTTGTGATAAAGATATTTTATTTTAACCCATTGTTTCCCAGTGATTTCTTTCAGAGACGGGAATAAATAACATCTCAAACTAGCAACATTTCAGTGACCTTATCTGAGTGTATAATAATATTTCCGGCGTATTTGCTCAGCATTGATAGAAGAGGTGAATTTCTAAGCTTATCCTTAACTTAGTGGGTTCCCACTGTGAGGAACCTTCTTCCAATGTGTTTATAAAAAGAGTCATTCTAAGCCCAGCCTGTCAAGACACTTGATTCTCAAGGTGAATAAAAAATGGGAAAGCTGATGTTTTCCCCTCTGAGGAGTTCTGAGATCTTGACTGTTCAGGTGCGCACACGCTGATCAATACTGACATTTTAGCATTCAGCTTACATATTCCTATATTTATGCCTTCCCCTCTACTCCTCTTTTGGAAAAGGTGCTTTTGGCATCCTGTCCTCTAAGACACCAGAAAAGTGGGAAGCTAAGGAAGGGGGGAGCTACCTCCTGTTAAATAAAGAATTATTGAGAGCATGATTACCTTAATTCAGCTCACTAACAAGCCTTTTGGGGCATCAGCAGATCTCTTTCCTAGACCTGCTGAGCCACATGACCACCTTCCTGCTCTTTTTCCATACCTACATGTTTTCTCATCCTTCCCACGGAATTTTGACTGCTCTATCCGCAGGTCGCTCCTGTTCCCCCCGACTCCCTCCACAAAGCCCTGACCTGCACAATACTGCATTCAAACAGCGAGAGCCATTAACGAGACGGGTCCCGGGGACCCTGTGACGAACTTTCAAAGCCTTTTTGGTGAACAGGACGACTGTTACTGTAGAGTAGCTTTACCGCAACATGAAGGTCCCATCTTGTTCCTATCACCCCATTACTCTTCTACGCTTTGAAAGCCAAACAGTAGCTGCTGCTGATCTCTACTGAGGACCAGGAGGAGAGAATCAGCAAGACTACACTGAAGACTTCGGACCTTTCCTCTCTGAATGTGCAATTTAAAAAGCTTGGGGCTTAGGCATCACCAGAGCAGTATGAGCCAACAAAGTAGAGCATCTTGAGACATCACAAAGAAAACGGGGAATTCCTCTGGTCAGGCCTTCTTGGAAAGCCAGCAGCCATTGTAAGATAATGTTGGCAGATCAAATGTGACCTGACTGAGTTGTAATCTGCTCTGAAACCAAAGCTGCTGTTGTGTTTGTTGGAGACCTAAGCAGCCGAACACCAGCCCAAAGCTTTCATCTCCTCCTGATGACTGAAACCCAATTAAAGGAGAGCCGGGTGACAGGTTTCACACTAAACATGGCTCAGCAGAGATGCTCAGCAGCTCTTAGCTCCCTGCTTTATCAAAGCTGTCACTTCCCCTGTCTCTAGGAATTGGTAATAAAAAAAAAAAAGATTTGATTCGCCTCTAATAGGTGTCAAGATAAAATCAATGGTCTGTCTGAAAACTGAGTAAATTCAAACCTGCATGTTTTCTACCATGAAGCAATTTACACAAAAATGGGAAAAAAAAAAGAGAGAAAGAAAGAAAAATTAAGAGAATGAACTGCTACAATGCCAAATTGTTCAGCATATCAGAGAGAACAGAAGGGAGAGATAACACTGCTCATAGCAGGATGGGCTTTGATTAAACAAACAGGTTCAGGTTCTTGTTTGCTCCAGCACCTTTCAAACAGAAAACACTATAAAAGCTTGAAGCAACTCCTGTGCCCCTCTTCTGCACAGGAAAGCTGTTCCCAGAACGAGAGCTGGCTGCACAGCCCGGCCACTCCGCCGCTGCAGGTGCCCCTGCCCTCCTTCAAGGAGGGTGAGACTTCACTGCCCTATCCAGAGTGAAAAGCTGAAGAACTTCTGCCACACAGGACAGCACTGCCTCAGGAAAAGGTAAAACACTATTTCGTCCTTTTTACTCCACACCTTCTGCCTCTCGGTGTCTGTGGTCTGGAAATGCTTCTCAACAGCACCTTCTCAACAGCCCTGATGCTTCCTGGCTTGGAAAGCTACCACCCAATGAAGCCACAAACTGGTGGGCTCTGTCTCCATCGCTGACAGCAGCAGTGGAGTCTTCAGTACGAATGGAGCTCAAATTTTCATCTTGGCTCCAAGCTGTTAAGCCCTGCCTACGCTCCGGCTTTGGCATGAACGAATTTGGAGACAGACAACTTATGATAGTGGAGTTATTTAAAATGGAACAATTTTTGAGCCTCCAAGAAGAAAAAGAAGAGGTTCTAGGCAAAGACATCGAAAAAGACTACTGCATTTTTGACATCTGACATCAAAACACTTCAATAACACCGTCAGAGACACAGGTGTGTTGGTGCAGTTCATAAAGGCTTCCGAAAGGGCTTGCCCAGATTGAGGGAAGCGCAGTTGAGTGCTGTGAGCATCTGGGCCCATCTGTCGCAACAGCTATGGCCAATGGGGCACGTCAGGCTCTCCAGCTGCTCCACACCTCCGCATTTCCTACCTGCAGAGTCAGCTTCTCCAGTTTCATTTCCAGAGATCGGTTCTCCTCTTCCAGCTTGCTGCGTTCAGCTTCCAGCTCCTCAATTTTCAGCCTGGAGAAGAAGGGAAAGTTAATAGACACTGTGTCCCTGCACAGTCCCACCACAAATAATCAAGTAAACCAGAAATCCCAAGTGGTACCAGGTTATTCCTGTATTCAGTACCACAAAGTTACACTACTGAGGCAGTTAAAACATGTGACTAAAAGATACAAGTTTGTATGATGAAAATATAATTTGTAACGGTATATTAAAAATACACAAGTTGAATATAAAGCAAATCCAACTTAGATACTTCCTGAACCCCAGACTGAGTCAAGACCATCATGTTTAATAACCACCAACAGCTAAAATCTCCATGAGGGCATCAAATCTCTTTTTGATCTGATTTATACTTTTGGCCTTCACAACAGTCCTTGGCAGTAAGTTCCACAATTTAATTATGCGCTGTATGAAAAATTAGTTCATTTTGTTTTATACTTCACATGTGATTATTTCACTGAGCGCCTGTTAGTTCTGCTATGAAAAGTTGTGAATAATTGTACCGTACTCCCCTCTCCACACCGCTTTACAGTCCTCCTCTATTATTTCCTGAAGAATCTCAATTTAGTCTTTCCTCACATCAAGGATTTCCCATATTTCTGCTCATCTTTATTGCCCTTCCTTGTTCTTCTGCAAGTTTTATATAGACTTTTTGCTATGAGAAAAGCTAGAACTACAAACAGCACTCGGATGTATTCAGTGGTATAATCAGGCTTTCTGCTTTCTTCTCAAGTTCTTGTCTCATAATTCCTAGTATTCTATTTGTCTTTTTAACTACAGAGCATTTACCTGATATTTTTAGAAAACTGTTCACAGTAACGTAAGATCTCTTTCTTGAGCGATAACAGCTCATTTAGAGCCCACTATTGTGGGAGTAAAGGTAAAGGCATTTTTTCCTATTCGCATGGGTTTTGCAATTATTGACGTACAACTTCATTTCCCATCTCGAGCAACATCGTAAGACTCTTCTGAAACTCTGAACAGTCTGATAAGCTGAATCATTTCATAATATCTCAAATTCTGTCACCTCACTGCTCACAAACTCCTCTTACTGTTGGACAACAAGTTCCAAATAAAAACCACTGGGGGTTGGACTGGATAATCTCCAGAGGTCCCCTCCAACCCTGACCATCCTGTGATTCTGTGACCTACTGGAAACCCCTCAGTATTGGGAAAACATTTGTTCTTTGATTTACCATCTTTTAACTTTGCGTGACACGAGCAAATTAACAGCAGAAAAATGCCTCAAGCTTTACAAAGTAAAACAGCATGATATTATCTGTGGCTCAGGAAATCCTGGAGCCAAGGCACTGGAATCCAGGAGAGCCTTCCGGCAACGTGCCCCGGTAGCTTTGCCCTACTCGCATGGTCCTCCACCACCGGCCATCCCTGCAGACAGCACACCGGGACAGACAGGGGACAGACAGCCCTCTGTCATTCTTAGATTCTTATTAATCCAACAAAGAACCTTCTTTCTTATTCCATCACAAAGTTTCTTTGCGACCTTTGGCTCAAAGCTTTTTGAAAGGTTAAATATATTATATCAACAACATCAGCCCTACCCAAAGGATTGTTGAATCCTTCAGGGAACTCTATCAAACCTGTTCGGGGGGTGATATTATTATAAAGCGTTCGATATAACATTTTTGCTTGCATTTAAGTACAGAGCACAAAAACCTTAATGCTGCTCCAAGAACCTCACCTTTTGCATGTTAACTTCCTGGGATTAACTGTGCAACTAACTCACATTAATAATTGATCTTTGCATTGAATTTTCTCCAGATCCCTTTCCAGAATATTTTTTAAAAAATTAATTATCTTGCTTGAGAATACTCACTTTCAAATGACCTAAATTAAGCGGAAAATCCTTGCACCGTGACGATGAACAATGCACCCATCTGCCAATATCCCAAAATTATGCAACAGAAATTTCAGGTACAACTGAGGAGTCGTCTCTCCTATTCACTGGGCAAAAGTTACAAACTTCTCCATAGAAGCTGGTTGATCTACGACATGTTCAGCACAGAAATGTCTCCTTTATAAATATGCAGCTTGAATTGCTTAAATTATTTGTAAGCCCGACCCCTGCTGGTAATTTTCAGATATTATAAAGTATCGTCTTTTTTCCAATCTTGGAAGCTTCTAAAATGCTGAGGAGCAGCTTTTAGCATTGTCTAGGCCATTAAAAAAGATCATCAATAATTTCCAGAAGAGACCCAAAGCTAGCGGGGATGGAGGGTGCTGAAGAAGCGGGAGACTGAAAAGGTCGGAAAAAATGGAAATTCAAATTGGAATTAATGCTTTTAACGGCGTGTTTCGAAATAGATTGCAGAACAGGCCACAAGAAGAGCAACGTTTTTCTCTGAGGAACAACAGCACAGCAGCTACTGAAAGGTCAGAGCCAGACACAGGACTCTCATCAGTACTTTCTCCATACTTGACATGCCGAATTTTAATTTAGAACACATTTCTCTCCATCCAGCCTCCCACACAAGCTGTGACGTTGCCGTTATCTGCCTGCAGAACTTCTCTCCACATGGAGGTTTAAGCTCAGGCCTCTTTGATGCCCTTTAAAAATCATTCATAGCAAGAAACCATTGCACAAAGATCCGAGACAAAGCGAGCCGTAACAAGGGTAGGTTTAAGTCACTATATTTTTACGCTATTTCATCTACAATTTTAAGATTTAATAATTTGTTCGTGCCATTCGTTCCTCAGTGAGGAAAGGACGGTGATTCATAGCCCGGGCGCTCGCGGTCGTGCGGCAGACATACCCGGACCGGGGATCTCGCGAGCGGCAGCGTGCCGGGGAGCGCCTGAAGTTCACAGCCTCTCCCGCAGGAGCTCACCCTTGGGCTCGTCCCTCGGGCACCTGCTCCTCCCCAGCACCCCAGTGTTGGGGTATCACTGGGGGATCCTCCTCCCCAGCACCCCGCTGTTGGGGTATCACCGGGGGATCCTCCTCCCCAGCACCCCAGTGTTGGGGTATCACTGGGGGATCCTCCTCCCCAGCACCCCGCTGTTGGGGTATCACCGGGGGATCCTCCACCCCAGTACCCTGCTCTTGGGGTATCAGGGGGGGATCCTCCCTCCCAGCACCCGCTGTTGGGGTATGGGGCGGTATTCTCCATTCCAGCACCCCGCTGTTGGGGTATTGGGGGGTATCCTCCTCCCCAGAGAGCGTGGGGCTCCCCGCCGTGTGCTGGGGAGGTCAGCTCACCGAGCTCCCACCCTCTGCGCCCTTCGGAGACAACCCTTGCTTCTTCCTCTGCGCTGAAGACAGGGAACATCGCTCTTTGCACCAGAGGGGTTTTTAGGGCTGACTAGTGCTTTCACTACTTATCCCTCTTCTAACCTATTTTTAACACTGTTAAGTGTCCTGGATCTCCAGTGGGAAAGCATTAAGAACCATTAGCAAACAGTTTGTGCTATTCTAGCTTTGCTTTCCAGCCCTGGGGAACTCTTCCCAATGGCAAAGAGAGAGAAGCAAGGGAAATCCTATCTATATATAAACACAGCAAAGCATTTGCAGCTGGTGGTTAAGATACGGCAGTCAAATATTGAAAAATATTTACTTGCTTGGCACTGGCATTTTTTCATTGACGTAAATACAGGTACAGGGCCAACAGTGTACTGCTTTTGGATGCAGCAGCATCCACAGCGGTGGCCTCGGTCAGCAGGCACCTTGTGCTCCCTCTGTCCGGGGACGCCTGCACAAGACAGGTGATGCTATTTTATCACCGACTCGCACTCCTCAACTTGTTACACACGGGAGTTACTTTCAGGTAGGGAGAACAATCCAAGAGAAATCCATGTGAGAACCACAAAAAGCAGACTACAGGAACATCTGGGTACAGCACAGCCATCTATCGACTTAACATCTGGCCCGGACTGAGCGCCGGTGCCCATTTTAAAAGCAGCCTTGTGGCACGAGGAAGGAAGAAACACCGGTTACTTTCTGCAATACTGACACCATTCTCAAGTTTTGTGATACAGGAGAAAATCATCCAGATTCATCCAAACTTCTCCACACAGGGGTTTGAAAACGTGAAAATATTTAAACTGTAGCAAAGATCTCTTCACGTTCCTGGAAGACTCTTCCTGCTTCAGATGCAGACAGCTTAACCCAGAGTCGAAGGCTCCATAGGCACAAGGTCAATTCAAGCCTTCTCCACAGCCTTTCATAGCATCAAACTTAGCGCAAGCATACGGATTCATCGCCACGCGTGCAGATTTGTGGATTTTCCCACTTTTGAGAACTGAGCTTCACATTGCCCACACTGCGTGTTTTCCTGCCCCAGGGCAGAAGAGGGAACGAGAGGGAAAAAAACCAACCCTGCAGCCTCAGGTCTCCCGAAATGACACTTGGGAGGATCAGGAGACATCCCACCATGTCCACCTAAGAAGTGTGTCGATGGTGAGCAACGGCTGCTTGAGGGAAAGGCCGGGCTGCTCCTATTTTAGAAAGGCAGAAGGGGGAATCTCTTTGATTTTCAACAGCATCAAGGCACTTCCAGAAGTCCCTCTCAGTCCAGAGCTTTTCAGTGGAGTTAACGAGCAACAACTGCCCACCATCACCCCTTTATCGTTCTTTTATTCATTTTTAATGTTCTCAGATGTGTTACGCCATTGCCTGGAGAGCAGCGCGGCTATCGCCGATGAGGACATGTCTCGCAGAGGCCCCATCTGCGAAGAGGACATGGCCCTGTGGAAAAGCTATTGCTGAAGAGGAAACTATTGAATGGAGCAGAAAATGTATGTGTTGGGAAGACGCTATTAAGGGATCCAGATGGCATTGAGATGGTGTTAGGAGCAGAGCAGACAGAATTCCAGCAAGTGTGACTAATAGGCATTGGCAAGGACATGAATTTCTTTTGAATTACTGTAACTCTACCCAGTCACTAAATCCACAGAAAACATTTAGGATTTACTGGGGTTGCAGCTTGACAGCAGAAAGAAAAAGTTCAGATTTGTTCCAGCTGAAAAGGTCCTTCAGCTGTTGCCACTTAAGTCTTTAGCGAAGTTCTTTTTAAATATTTTACTTTTATTTATAGGTTCTGAAATACTAGTTTCTGCACAGTTATCACCTCCCCTCTAAAAGGTGCTAATGCCTGGGTGCTCTCCGCTTTGCTATACCCCACAGCGCACAAACTCAACAGTTTGACCACTCTTCCTTTTCGTAAGAGCCACAGAATATAAACAAATATGATTTCAGAGGGAGCAGCAAGAAGTGTGAGAAATGACAGCATTAGCACCGGCTTTTATTGTCTCTTCGGAAACGATGATGCTGGGAGAGAGTTTCACATTTAAAGTTATAAAAGGTCTGACGAAAGAGCACTTTGTTCTCAAGAGAAGGAGGAAAAACTGATAAAGTCTTTCAAGTTTCTCGCTGAAAATTTACTTTCCATACTAAAGAAAAATGTGACCAAAGATATATCTTTAAAAGCTCTCATCCACTCACGGGAGGTGAATACAGATTCAAACGATCAATATAGATTATTTTTTTTCTCCTTTATGTCTCTCCTGCTTTTGTTTTCAGGAGTTGGCTTCTAACCACGGGGTGTATATGGAAATGCCTGGAGGCTCACGGTCCGTTCCTGCCCTGCAGACTCCCCTTGCTGGCTTCTGCTGGTTTGCCTCTATTTTTCACATTCCTTCGTGACAGCAGCTAACCGGAGAGGCTGGGCTCCGTCCAGAAGAGCAGACGCATCGTACTGCAGGTTAATGGGATTTCAAAGACCACAATAAACTACAGAAATGGAAATAACTCCCTCATATGCTGTGGCATTTCTTTCTCCGCTTTCCAATTTGAAAGTTTGCATTCTGCCCCCTGTCTTCTGCCAGAATTAATTTCTGGCAGCGGTCTGGAGAAGGAAGGAGTAACGGTGGAGTTCATGTTGCTCATTCCTCCTTAGCAGTCTACGTAAAATTGAGTAAAGCCTGTTGAGGCCCACAAGGACAGAGGAGGAGGACGAGCACAGCAGACCTAAGCCCTTCCCATCCTGACCCCTGTTCACCTCCAAACCTCTTCTGTTCTTTAACCGCAGCCACCCAATTCGCTTCTGCTCTACAGGGAGGACACATCCAGCCAGCCACGAGCAGCGTTCCTGCGCGGACCACAGCGCATTATTCCTGCACCCCAAAAGCCTGGGGGAAGACAGCGATTTAGCTGGTGCTCCTTTCTATGAAGAAAGAACTTGGCCCAGTTTCTTGTCCAATGCACCGAAAATGCCAGAAAACATGAAAAAAGGCCCAACCATACCCTTTGACTGCTTAAGTCTAGAAGGATAAGAAAAAAGTCTGTACGGAGTCGACTCTGCGATGCCAAATGGAGTGCGTGAGAGCCTGAGAAGGCACCTGAAGCACCAAGAGTGGCCAACGGTAGGGAAAAAGGAGCAGGGACTGGCTTCCCAGTGCTCCAGCAAAGAGAGCTCCAGCAGAAAGAGGACACTTTGCACAAAGGCATTTACTGTTAGAGCTGAGCAGCGAAAAGGGTGATTAAAACCAAACAAATCCATGCTTTTTCGGAACAGCTTTGTAGCTAAATGACTAGCATCG